AATTAGTTTCTAATTTTTACTCTCAAGTTGTTCCACAGTTATGAATTCATTAGTTGCTAATTCTTACTCTCAAGTTGTTCCTCATCTATTTTTATTATTTTCTAATTCTTTCTCTCAAGTTATTCCACAAGTATTTTCCTTAGTTTCTAATTCTTACTCTCAAGTTGTTCCACGTGTATTTTTATTATATTACATTATATAGGTGCGGAATGGTCCAAAATAGCGAGAACAACTTTCAGAATTAAAATATAATTTCTGGTCACGGAAAAATAGGCGAAAACGTTTGGCTACCTCCCAACTTCCCAAAATCAAAGGAAAGGTTCGGAATGTTTTGATTTTAGCAAATATTAGAGTTATGTTAGTTTCAATGATACTATCAACCAATTTCAATACATAATTAGTGAAAATAAACATGTTTCTAGTTTTCATCTAGTACGTTTTCAATCTCAATGTCCAAAACACTCTTCAGCACACATTTCCATAAGAACATGTAGCTCGGCCCCTTTTTTTGGTTTTTGTATCCTTTGGACTACTCCACATCTACTTTGGTAGATAACATGAAAATATATTTGCCTGTACATATATAGCTGGAGGATCACAATATAAACACATTTCACCGCTTTTGTAGCTTCTATTTTTTTTTGTATTTGTGTTCTTCACATGGTCCTGGCCTTCTCGTAACTTCGGTCATACATGCGCATAAATAGAAAATTGATTTCGAAACAGATGAATCCGCGCAAAAATGGTTCTGAAATTTTAATTTTTTCCGTCAAAAAAACTGTAATTTTGTAGTTTCTAATTTTCTCCCTTAGTTTTCTACAGAAATTAAACTTTAAATATTCTAATTCCTTTCTTTTAATTTTTACGGAAACATAAATAGTACCTTATATTTCTTTTCTCTTATTTGTTTAACAGGAATTAAACTATTAATATCTAATTATTTTCTCTTTTTTTCTCCACAGAAATTAGGTTTTAATTATTTACAAAAGTCAAATCAGTAGCTTGGAATTCTTTCCCCTTAGTTTTTCAAGGGAATTAAATTAATGCCTTCCGTTCCTTCTCTCTGTAGACTTACAACGCTAGAAACCGGGTTTCGATACCCGTGGTGGGCAGAGCACAAATAGCCTTGGCCAGGTGGTTAAGGCACTTGACTCGCAATCTGAGGGTCGCGGGTTCGAATCCCCGTCACACCAAACATGTTCGCTCTTTCAGCCGTGGGGGCGTTATAATGTGACGGTCAATCCCACTATTCGTTGGTAAAAGAGTATCCCAAGAGTTGGCGGTGGGTGGTAATGACTAGCTGCCTTCCCTCTAGTCTTACACTGGTAAAGTGGGGACGGCTAGTGCAGATAGCCCTCATGTTCTTTGCGCGAAATTCAAAAACAAACAAACAAACCGTTCCTTCTCCTTTATATCTTCAATAGGAAATATACCACTACCTTCTAATTTCTCTCTCTCTTAGTAGTTTTATGGAAATTTATTCATTAGTATTTAATTCTTTTCTCTTAGTTGTTCAGTAGGAAATACGTTATTATCTTTTAACTCTCCTCCACAGTTGTTCTACGTGAATTAATTCAGTTGCTTTTAAAGATGACAGAATAAATTAGTATCTTATACTTATTCTTTCTTAGTTATTCCACAGAAATTGAGTCAGTGACTTTGATTCATCTCTAATTGTTGTTGAACAGGAATTAAATTCTTCTATTTTAGTTATACCGTAGGAATTAAGCCAGTGTCTTCCACATCTTCACTAGATCTAAACCAGTGTGTTCTAATTTCTGTCTTTGATGTTTCACATAAATTAAGTCAGTAGCTTCTAATTCTTATCTTTTAGTCGTTCAACAGAAATTAAATTTGTATTCCATTTCTTCTCTCATATCCATTCAACGGGAAATAAACCAGTACATTTAAATTTTTCTGTCATATTTCATCTGTAATATATAATGCTTTTCGATAATTATTTCTCATGAATTAAATCACGAGCCTATAAGTATTCTCTCTTAGTTACACCAAAAGTATTCAAATCAGAAACTTTTAATTCTTCTATATTTTTAGTTCTATACGAAATAAATTATTACATTCTATTTATTCTCTCTTATTTCTTTAACGTGAAATAAATCAGGAGTTCTCTCTTATTTCTTTAACGTGAAATAAATCAGGAGTTCTCTCTTATTTCTTTAATGTGAAATAAATCAGGAGTTCTCTCTAATTTCTTTAACGTGAAATAAATCAGTTCTCTATTAGTTCTTTAACGTGAAATAAATCAGAAATTTCTATTAGTTCTTTAACGTGAAATAAATCAGGAGTTCTCTATTAGTTCTTTA